CACATTGAGTCTCGAAGACTCATTTACAAGTGAGACCTGTTTGGACAAACAAAAACAGTGGTTAGAAAAGGAAAGAAAACATGAGAGACATTATAAAAAAAAAGATCTCTCACGCCATGTCCTAGACAGGGCACGATTTGAGGCATCAAAAAAACCTACCACAGCAAAGCAACATAAACAGACGTTATATATTTACATATAGGCCGGTGAAAACATTGAATTTTTAAGGAAAAGCCGTAGCATAGTCTAGAGCCCCCCACCCCCACCCCCCCTTCAGCCATTGTCCAGATAAGAGGCGACATTCATCTTCAGCTCAGTTGAGGTTCTGTCACATGTCCACGGCCTTGGGGAAGGGAGGGGTGAGGAAACAGTCAAAGCATCTTAGTTGTTTTCAAAACATTCCAGGAGGAGTTGAGATAAGTCCGGCATCAAGGCCACAATTTGGGTCAGGCAGGACTCGTGAATTGCTGTTTCTGCCTTTTTTAAAGTCTTGCTGGTATATATTCCTCTAATGGAAACTCCAAAACTGCCGAATTGATCCTTTACGCCAAAAGTCGCGCTCACAGCTTCTCCAAGATTATTCCCACCATTCATGAGTGTTGCCAGTGAGTTCACAGTCCTGATAACAGCCTACTCCAGCTCCCTGCACCAGCTCTCCAAATTCAGTGTGAGCGCTGTCGAGCTTCGACACATCCACATGAATTTGTAGACAATCCAAGATTTCACCAACCCAAACAGTAGAATCTAGTTGTGATCATGAATCCAATTTGTTTCCGTCGAGGTAAGAGGGTCCTCCTTACCCTGAATCCTGTTGGGAGAAGTTGATCGATTTTGTTGAGAGACCATCTGATCCTTCCAATTAAGAGGTATGCAGAAAAAAGAGGCTTTTTAAGGGTTCACAGGATGAAAGAATGCAAGCAGGGAAGCGGGGGAGATATGGAGCACTGGGAAACATGTCTGTCTTCACCGGAGTACAGAGGGGGGAAAAAAGGGCACCAGTGACCCCTGTGACCCAAAAAAGAAAAAAAAAAAGCGGTAAAATATAATGGATGGATGGATGGTATAATCTTGCATGTTATCATGTATAAAAGGTTGCATGTTGTATGATGCCAACACAGTTAAAACCAATGTCAAGCAATATTTTTTTAGGGTGGAAGAAAAATATTGTTCAGAGAGTAGCTGTCGGTCCTGACTCGCATATGAGCTGGCATAAAGAGCCACTTTGTTCATGATTAATGCTGGACAAGTATTAAATGAGGAGCTCGAAAGAGACAAAATTCTCATCACTAGCTTGGAATGGCTAAAAAAAGCACATTGTCTGATGCTTTTTAAGCCAGAGCTTTAGACTATCTTTGGAAAAATGAAGGAGTTGTAGCCATTTCGGTAAAACCTCAAAAATGACAATTTGCACAACTAGTGTAATATAGCTAATGTCATGCTCAGAATGTGTGTTTAGGATCATTATCTGCCACTACCACAACAAATTTCAGTTCAGAATCTGCAAAGGTGCAAAAGGTATCCCTTTTTCTTTCAAATGTTCTCCTTAGTCTCTGTTCCACTCAGTTACACTCTTTCTTTAGGAATATTGACAACAGACATGTCAGTGGCTTGTGGCACAAAGCTGCTGGGTTGTAAAACAAAATGGTACGACTCTACTTGCACACACCACTCAACATACATTCTTCCTTTTTTTCACCAAAGCAAATCGATTCCAGCATAGTCTTGTCACACATCATTACACCTTCCTACCATCCTCTGCTCTTTAGCTCTGTTTGCATGAGTGTGTGTGTGAGTGTGTGTGAGTGTATAACTGGGTATGTATTAAATAGGCATGCAAACTTAGCACATGCAGAGCAGGCGTGTGCCAATTCTTCACCATCTCATCCAACTTATCAATTTAAAAATAGACAATCAGGCATATGTATAGACATCCACGGCGACACTGACTGATCAGTTTTCTTTTTTTTTCATTAAAAATATAAATGAAGTGCAACAAAATATCATTCCAGCTTTATTTCAGCAAAGCAAAACATCATTTTAGAAGAAAGCTAGGCCAATCATTAGAGAACACAGACTCAGCCATTGCAGCCAGGCTGGCTCGACTGGACAGGTTGCTCAATGATACATGAAATTAAAGAATTCAACAGACTAGCAGTGAATAGGCTAAAACACACAAAGCTAATTCTTTCTGCCATTTGTAGGCATTTAGAACAGATGTTTTTTGGGGGGTTTTGCTTTGTAAAACTGTCTTTGAGTATTATGAACTCATTGCATTTGCGGTATGAATTAAATTAAAACCTCTGACTGCATTTGTTTATCTTTTGTTCTTTGGGATTGCACCCCCCCCTTCCACACACACACACATACACACACACAATGCATTTTTGAACATGCTGAATGCCAATATAAGCTTTTCTAATTGGGGACCATGGCTTTGGTCCCCATTTGTCAAGGTGTCCCCAAATGACTGGTGAATAAGCTGGTTCAAGTCCCCAAATATAACATAACCAAACTTTCACACACACATGCAAACACACACAGTGATTTTTACTGGTATAACAATGAATAAAGAGCTGTTTCCAATGGATGTATGAAATGACCAATGATTTGTAAATATCTAGATACACAGGTGGTAGAAAGTAAATGAAAGCAGCTCATTCATTCAACTTTTATTTATACAGGTTAATCCTATTGAGCCTCAGTGACTCATTTACAAGAGAGACCTGGTTTTAATGATGATGTATATATATTTTAGCCGATGACGTATAATTTTATTCGATTAGTTGAACAAGAGCCATATCTAATAAATCTGTGCTGCTGTTTTGTGTAAAATTTGAAATTATTCTTATAGTTTTTGTTTCTTTTCAGTAAAATTATTAAAAGAAACTTATATGGTGAGAGATCAATTAAAGTTTTTTTGTCTTTTGATTAAGACTGCACCTCAATTAAAAAATAATTAAGATGTTTGTTGCAAGAATTTGTGTTATCGGTTATAATTAACTTGGCTGTGCTTGTTAAGTGTATGCTGTATTTAAGATAATTAAATCGGAAGTCAAGCATCAAATTAATTTTAATGTCAACACAAAGGAAGAATCATAATCAACTTGCTGCATTTGAACATTGTACAAATGAAACAGCAAGAGACGCCAGAGGTGTTACTTTGTTTATTCACCTGTATAAAAAAACCTGTTGAGCCGTTCATCTTTAAGGTATAACATTTCTACTGGATTTCTGTGTTTTGTACAATAAGACATTTTACAACTTATCAACCTAATTTTGACACGTTAGCCTTCATTAAATTTTATTAGAGGTTTGAAAAGCATAAATCTCTGCATGCGTGCGTGCGTGCGTGCATGCATGCATGTGTGTATGTGTGTGTGCATGCACGTGCCCAACTCATCCAGAGGTATTGCTTTTACCACAGGAGTTTAGTTACACTAGGGTCAGAAAGATAACTGAGGTAAGACTGCATCCATCTGTCCCGTGCCCAGAGGAAATCTACACACAGGCTCACACACACAAGCACCCCCCCCCCCACCCGCCCACACACACACACACACACACACACACACATACATGGTGTCATGTCTTTTCACCTTAGTAGCAGCCTCCTTTCCAAGTACAACAGTGTCTGTTGTCTATTTAAAAGCATATGTACCCTTGGGTCAGCTGTTGGTCCCTCCTCAGCATTTCTGCACTGTTCTGGACTCGCAATAAGGCAGACCATAAAGAATTCTGCTGAGACACAATTTCAACGCTTTTGTTTCAAGTGCACATGTGCATTTAGACCACCTGAACATCTGAGAATAGCCCCCGCATTTACATCTGCACCATCAGGTGCAAAAAGATGCACTTAACTGACAAAGTGGTCCACTGTCTTTTCTTCACTCAATTAACCCTGCGGCCCTCATTTGCATTTCATAAGGGGGTCGGCACTCCGTGGGAGGGTTATCTCCTTTTCGGAGGCAGGAACAAAAAATGAAGAGAGTGAACAGTTTTCATCCTGTCAAAAAGATAACACCACTCATCTGCCTTATCAGCAGCTGATGAAATGCACACTGTACAGGCTCAAGCATGTGAACATGACAGTGCCTCTGAATATGCAACGCCAGGTTGTGTTCACATGTGGCATTTTGGTTTTATGTGGAGACACATGTACAGACGCAGGTCCTGTCTGTGCATCGCTTCAATCTCTTGTTTGCCTTGTGTGACACACACTACAGCAGGTATTCATTCATCTGAGCCCTGAGCTGAACTGGCTCCCATGTATATAAGATGTTAGTTTCATCCTGGCCTTTTATCCACCAATCCTTCATTAGCCAGTTTTAACTCAAGCTTCATCAACTGACCCTCCATTAGGAAAATTTGCATTTCATCACGCCCAAATCTTGCATTAAGGCCTTAAAGCGGAGAGGAAGAGTGTTGAGAGAAGGCTGCAAGGAGGTATAAATGGAAGTAAGGGGGTGTTTTAAATGTAGGAAACACTCTACTGAGTAGCAATAAAATTTGCTCTTTCCTTAACACCCATTTGTGAGCATGTCTGCGCGCATGTGCCAGAGTGCTTTAACTCCAACTTGTGTTTAAATGGCACTGAATAATAAATCTGCACCATGGTGCATTAGTCTCAGGGGGCTCAAAAGCCCAGGTTCTGAAGTTTAAAAAAAAAAAAAAAATCAAACTCAAACCATTTCTGCTCATAAGAGTTTTTTTTACGCCAACACAACAGATTTATTAGACTCTCAAAAAATTATGTTGAACTTTTTTAGAGTTTTTGTCCAAAGTGTCGTACTTGTTGTCATGCAAATTAATGTTTATATAAATTCCAAATTAATACAGCTGAAATATAGAATGCTCTACACACTAATGTTGCGGCAGTAAAATCCAACCAAAAGTCATTCTTATTATTTCAAGATCTTTGAGGGACTACATTTGTCCGAGTGTGGGAAATAAAAGGGCCTATAATATCTGAATATTCGTTGAAGAGGTCAACAGCTTCTCACCTTCTGAAGCAGTTGGGAACCAGAATACTTTGCAGAGATGGATTTCATTTCTCCTCCAAATGCTGAAGCCCATAACTTGACCCTGTAGACAGACCATGTGCAAGAAGTACAGCAAACAATGAAAATGCAGTCTTACTGAGAAAATATGAACACAGTTGTCATGACTAAGATGTAAAAACATCACTTGAATGGACTGCCTTTGAATGATGGACTACTGCACACAGGTTCATAGAACAGCTGACTTTAAACATGTAATAAAATAAAAAACTGGAAAGTTTTGTTTAAGTTCTGTTTTGGAAAACATTTGCTAAAAATAATAATAATAATAAAAATAACCGCATCCAGATACTTACACAGATGCAGGGATGCTCTGGTGGGAACCTCCCACCACGTTTGTCCTGATGCTTAGAGTTGAACAAAGTAGGAGCAGCCAGGTAAACTGAGCCCGGGGAACCGCACAGCTCCGATCCACCTGCATCTTTGAAAACTGACACCCGTCCTTGCGCGCGCACAGTGCGAGCTCGCAGCGTTTTCCTCCTTCAGAAAATCCAAAATTTCTAAACAAAACAGAAGAAAGCAAGAGTCACCTATGTCGAGTGACTAAATATTTCATGGCATCATGCGCAGCTCCTGAACTGGAGCGGGACGCGTCAAACTGCAGCCTCCTGCGCTCTGGAACTTCTCCGGTGTGCGGCTCACCAGCGCTGCTCTCAGAACCCCCCGCTCCCCACTCCAAAAAAAGTCTACCTCCTGCAAGGAGAGTCTGAGAACTCACTGTTGAGGTTCAGGGGAGGAGAACATCAATCGGTGCAGCGCACGAGAGCACGCCTACTCCCCCTGAGTGATGCGCCTAAAACCTTCTCTCGCTCATTTTCTCTCTCCATCTCCAAACACGCAGAAAGACGCACAGTCTTTATCTCCTCGCCCCTCTGAATCTGCAGGATAGGCTGTGAGGGTGTCGGTATTGTTGATTTACGACGTGACTGGGACTTGCCTGACTCATTTCAACCCCCCCCCCCCCCCCCCCACACACACACACACACACACTCCTCTAACTCTCGCTCTCTAATACAGCAATATTAGCTAAAGCCTTCAGCTTTCAGGTCAGATCATGTCATACACTGTATGCCCAGTTCACTGAAGCAGGAATAACTGCTAAAGTGCTGGCAAAAGAAGGAGGATGGGGGAAGGGGGTGGATGGGGGGGGGGGGGGGGTGTCCAGCCTCGTGGTGGAAGAGGGGAAGGACCAGATGACAAGTCAGTTCTGCAGCATTAAAGCATGCCAAATGCACTTTGCAGCAGTGATGTGGCACTGGCAGCGCGTGGACATCTGGGTGGTGGAAGAGGATGAGAGCCCCCAGGCGACAGAACCCTGTGATGGATTGCATTTCACAAAAAAGGAGGGATTCTGGCAAAGAGAAGGGGATCAGCTTTGAATAGCCAGTGTCTAACCCTGCTTTTTCTTTGTTTGGAAAGCTAAAAATAACAGCTGATAAATGTTTGTGTGTGTTTTCTTTCATTTTTTTAACATCTGGTCTGAGTTCCTCAGACACTCAGAGAAATACAAAAGGGATATTTTTACAACTCAAATATTGACGTAGAGCCACATGTCTGTGGACGTTCAGCCCAAGTGTATTCTTTCAGCAAATCTTGAAATAAGAACTGTCACAAGACGTTTCCGCTAACAAGAAATACAAATTAATTTGTGTAAGAAGTAAACTAAAATGCAAATCAAAATAATACTATTAGCTTAATTTAACAAAACTGTTCAAACATGTTGCTTTTTCACAGGTGCTTGTGCTTAGATGCTTAGAATAGTGTCATAATTTGTGAAATAAAAAGCAGGAACATTTTTACTAATTACAATATAATGAAGATTGCTATAAAAAGCCAACATCAAGAAATGTGCCAGGTTTTTCTCCTGATCGAGTGACAGGCCTTATTAAAAATAAAAGCATTTTCTGCACAAAAGGTGTCTTGAAAATGCATTAATGAAAGATAAAAGCCAACAGGCTGCTAAAGTAAATAAATATTATTTTTTTATTCTTCAACTATAGCCAATGTTCTGCTGACAATATATCTTAGTTTGATGTGCATCCACTCATCTCACACCTTGACTTTTAGATGAAAGCTAAATTATGCAAAGAAAATCCCACTCGATTTGGGATGAAAATCAAAACGAGAGTGTCTTGCTATAAAGTGCAATACTGACCACAACACTGCAAGTTCCTCCCTGAGTCGTTCAATCAAATTAAATAATGATTAACAATCAGTTAAACCTATCAAGGGATGAATAACAGTTGTGTTTACACACAAAAGCTATTTAAAATTTCTCAACGTTTTAGCCGTATCAACATTAAACTATCTGGTGAATAAAAAGATAAATAGTAAAATGTGTGCATTCAAGAAGCAAATGTTCTTTTTGTTACTAGTGCTTTTGAACAAAATTAATTTCAGTTTGTTCCATTGAAAAATAACAATGATTACACTTTTAAATAATTGAAAGCATAAACTCAAATTGCAAAAGTGGAAATTAATGGGGACTATTAATCCAATAATTTATACTTTATCCATCTGTGCCTGACACCCAAATTAAAGTAATTATTCTTGTCTAAAGTATTTAAAAAAAAACACTTTACAATTTTAGATTACAACATTATATTTAGGCAACCTAAAATTACTTCAAAATCTAAGGAAACATGGCGAGTGGAGGAAGTAAATCTATCCACCACCAGGTGCAGTGGCAGAGCCAGGGGGTGACCAATGGAGGCCTTGGCCACCATAGATTCATCTTCAGCCACCCCATTCATTTGAGGAAACTGTACTTTTAAGCAATATAAAAACTAGAAAGAATAGTTTCCTTAAATTATTGAGATAGCTAGTTTGCGTGTGTGCAACTCAGTTTTTGAAAGTGGCCTTCTTACGCCTTGACGCAGCCATTGTGGGATTGATCTTTATCACTAACTGACTAAAATACCTGCTTTGATACTCGGAGACAAACTCTTTTTAATTCAGTTGTATACTGGAGGCAAGTCCTGGGAGATTTCTGGATGAAATGAAAAGCATAGGAGGTCGAAGTGATTTGTTCATGTAGTCAACCTTAAACCTAATAAAGATCATACAACTACTTGTTAAGATGTTAGCAATTTGTGTGGCAAGCAGAGTGTAGAAGATTTGAACTATACATAAATACTAAAGAAGTGCTGCAGACAACTTCACAAAAGAATAGAAAATAATAAAATAATACAATAGTCTTTATTGTCATTGTACAGCCTGAGCAATTAAATTAAAGGTGCCTCAACTGACAATGTATTATTTAAAAAAGACAAACAGCAACAACATACAAATAATGTATACACAACGATTCAGTGCAGACATTAAACACCGATATACACAAGAAGCATCAGTCTCGAAAACATAGAGACTTACTGGTCAGAATAATACTTGGTGGTGGAAGCAGACTGAATAAAATGCACACACAAAAAATAAATGTTAATGAGAATTTTCTAGCATTACAGTTTAGTGGTTAGCACTATTGCTTTTACAGCAATAAGGTCCTGGGTTCAAGCCTCATGTTGGGCCTTGTGTCTTTCTGTGAAGAGTTCATTCTGTGGATACATGCAGTCTGGTTGTTTATGAGCTTTATTTGTGTTCAGATCCTGCACATGATAAAAGAAGAGATGCCACAGATCATTTTTAAAATACATCATAGCAACAAAAAAAAAACTGATTTAAATAATAAGTAAAAGGATGATTAAACTATGTAACAACATAGATTCTGGTCATGTTATATTTTTTTTGCTATTTTTCAGTTGTCTCTGTAGTTTAACTTCAGGCCTAACTCCTGCTTCTCTGTAACAGCTCATTAGCTCCAAAGTCAGTTCTGCATGTCATTACAGAATCACAGCTCATTGGAACAAAGATAGAAATCCTCACATGACTGAGCAGTCCTGGATGCACTGATGTTACAGAGAAATCCATCTGCAACCCAAACACAAAAGCTTTTTTAAGAGGCAGCAAACTGTGTTTGAAGTTGAACAATATTGTTTGAATTTTTATAATCAGTAAACAGCAATAAGTTCTGTCTCATTTGTGCCAGGGGAAAAATTACATTAACTAGAAAACTGTTCGATGTACAATGGTGCTTGAATGTTTGTGGACCTTTTAGAATTGTCTATATTTCTGCAGAAATATGACCTAAAACATCATCAGACTTTCACACAAGTCCTAAAGAGAACCCAGTTAAACAAATGAGACAAAAATATTTTACTTGGTCATTTATTTATTGTCATCACATTGTCAGCACTGTATGTTTCCATACAATGGCAAAATTAGTCTCTGCATTTAACCCATCCACCACCAGGTGGTGCAGTGGGCAGCTATTGAAGGCGCCTGGGGGGCATTTTGGGGTGTGCTGCCCAGAGACACCACGAGGTATGCAGTGACCGGGGATTGAGCCTGGGACTTTCGGGTCCCAAGCCGTCTGTCCTGCCTCTATACCATCTCGGCCCCCATTTATTGAGGAAAATGATCCAAGATTACATATTTGTGAGTGGTAAAAGTATGTGAACCTCTAGGATTAGCAGTTAATTTGAAGGTGAAATTAGGGTCAGGTGTTTTCAATGAATGGGATGAGAATCAGGTGTGAGTGGGCACCCTGTTTAATTTAAAAAGAAAGATCTATCAAAGTCTGCTCTTCACAACATGTTTGTGGAAGTGGATCATAGTAGGAACAAAGGAGATTTCTGAGGACCTCAGAAAAAGAGTTGTTGATGCTCAGTTTATCAGTTTATTCAGTTTATTCACACACACACACACACATGTAATGAGAGATAATATGCGTCTGACCCTCAGGGTCAGGTTTTTGACCTGAGGCTTAGTTCACTACACACACACGAAAAAAACATAATACATAATACAAAGTACATATCTGCAAAATAACAGCTCATCAGGCTGGAAAAGTTACAAAACCATCTTTAAAGAGTTTGGACTCCACCAATCCACAGTCAGATGGAGGAAATTCAAGACTATTAGGGTGGGGGTGGGGGGCTTCAGTGTGAGGGAAGAGGCAGCGCTCATGCAGCCTTTAGCTTTTTAACTAGCACACACCTAGCTACATCATTGCCAATGAGGGGGGTGCGGGGGCAACGCGCAGTTTGGTTCGGTAGGCAGGGTGCTTAGTTCTGTTGATGGGGTGCCGTCATTGCACAATGGTAGGGGAAACACTGCTATCTATGAAACATGGTGGTGGTAGTATCATGTTTTGGACCTGTTATTGTGCTGCACTTTATTTAGACCTCTCTAAAGTTTTGACACTGTTGACCATGACATCTTGTGTCATAAGCACTCAGAAATTGGTTTCTCAGATCCCACTATTGGTTGGTTCTTTAATTATCTCTCAAATCGGAGGCAATGACTTCAACATAACTGTGTTCAACATAACGTCCAGCTATCTAAATGTTAACAGCGTTGTACCACAAGGTTCAGTCTTAGTACCCACCCACTTCACAATCTACATAAGTAATGTAAGTCAGTTAATTCCCG